CTCCTTCATGAGGAATTCATATTATCAAATCATTCTGTGGTTCTTGAGTTGGCTACCAATCTCTGTTGGAAAATTTTCTGAAGTCCCGAAATATCGGTTCAAAAAAGTATATCACTCAATGCGAAACTGCTTCTTCTTTTTTTAACTACTTCTTGTTCAAGGAACGCATTGACATCTTTGCAGAAATATAGAATATGTAAAAGTAACTTTTAGAACCAAGCTCGATTCAATATTGAAGAGGCTCAAGAAGTGCTATTATGGGTGGAACAGGTTACGGGAATCCAATTTGAAGTTGATCCAGGAGCTATGCAAAATGCACAGGACGTTGTTAATGCTCTGAAAGATGGAGTACAGTTGTGCGCGTAAGTTACCTTCCCCTTACTATTAAATAAATGGTGGTTTCCTCCGCTTCACGCTCCATTTAACTTCCTAAATCATTTCTTTCTTCTCCGTCTATTATACTTACCTTCACAAGAATCTTTTGATCAAGCCCAAATAATCTTGTCGTCCGTGGGAGACTGTTACAACATTAATTCCGCCTCTGAACCATTGTTATTCTCTTACCACCCACTATTAGACTTAGCTCGAAAAACAACAGTAAAGTTTCCACTAAGTGCTTTTATGAAAGCTTACAAAAATTTGATATTGAATTCGTCAATTTGGCTCACACCAAAATTGTCTGTATAACATTAAATGAACTACGGAAAAATATACCGCTACCTGACCGCCGCTCAATATCCTTCACGACATAAATACTTACTATTGAACAGTGGCCATTTAAAAATTCATCCGGTAGTTTAAAATATGCAAGTTTTGAGCATATAAATGTACAACTAAAGTTGTTAAAGTGAAAAATCAGTGTCTTATGTCAAATACTCGAACCAAATTTTTTAATCAACTTTATTCCAGTGGCAGCCGCAACTCTGCGGTAACTCAAATTCCCAACTTTATAAACTTTTGTTCCCCCTACTGTAATTATTTGTGAAAAACAAAAGGAATTTCATCGAATTTTTTTATTCTAGGCTGATGAACTGCTTAAAAGACAAACCAGTCGCTTTTAATAGAAGACCAAAAATGCCTTTCCACAAGGTTTATTTTCTTCAGCAATTACACTCTTATGCTAGTCGTTTGACTTCTGGCAATAAACCACAAACGTGAAATTACTCTTCTACTCCACAAGGTTTCCCTAGAGAAATCATCGCAATAAACAAGATGATTAAACACTCTTCAGATGGAAAATATCAGTATCTTCCTTGACGAAGCTAAAGCTTTTGGAGTGCCGGAAATCTCGTGCTTCCAAACAGTAGATCTATACGAAAACAAACAGTGTTACAAAGTGATTGAGTGCTTGCGAGCCTTGGCCACAGTGGTAACTTTATTCACTTGAAATCTGTCACCATCTTGCAAAACAAAAACTCTGCTCTAACTGAAAGTGATTAACAGCTTGCAACAAACAGCCAAAATTTGCATTTGAAATCCGTAAAAAAAAAAAAAGACTGCATTAAACCAGTACTTTTTCCATCCAACAGACTTCAATTTTCAGGCGAAGTCAAAAAACGCTGCTGTACCATTCCCCTCTTGGGTTGTAAAATTATCACAAAGTCGGCCTAGAGTGTTCCCAGAATCCGTAATACGACGAGGTGAAACTGTCATTCCCCTTCAGTATGGGACAAACAAGTGCGCTTCACAGAAGGGTATGACACCATATGGACTCACTAGGCAAATCAAACCAGAAAACTGAAATATAAACTTCCCGTGTATGTAAAAGTAATTAGCTGGAACCACCAACAGTTACCAACCTTAAGACGAAACCTTCAATACCGACGAACGATGATGCTTAAATGTTACTCAGATGTTCCAAAAAATAATAATATATTCCTTATTAATATAACTGTCTAACAGCAGAACTGCAAAAACCTCACGAAAAAAAAAAA